CCACATTTCAAGTGTCCAGTGACCAATGGTAGCTGGTGGCCGCTGAGTTATGGGACAGTGCAGATGCAGAATATTTCCGTCACTGCAGTAGGCTCTGTTGGACGGAACTGGTATCAACTAACTTTCATGGGCCTGCATGTCCTTCCTGGGGTCTAGGCCTATATAGGTGCAGTGCCCAAAGATGTATAGCATGCAGGACTAGATTCAGGGGAATGCGAAGGTCCAGAGGTTCTGGAAGCTTTGCCTTTTCATTGAGCGTACTCCTTGTCTGGGGGGAAGGTTCCTGGGGGGAGAGAACTGTGGGATCCCTATGGATAGTCCCTGCCACCGGCAGGTGCAGCCCCTTAAGGTATCAGATTAGGGAAGTGAATGCTGAAAGGGGGAGTTTTTACTAAGCTAGCAGTTTCTTGAAATTCTGAATTGGGACCTGCCTTCTGATTCCCGAGGACAGTGAAGCCCTCGGAGCTGGAGCTGAAAAGGAACCCTGGAGATCAGAGGCCCTACTCTGTTCAGCATTTGTGTCTTTTGGCCTTAAAAGAACATTTAGAAGTTTTTGGTGAGTGGCAATATCCCTCACCTGTGTGTGTGCGTGTGTGTGTGTGTGTGTGAGAGAGAGAGAGAGAGAGAGAGAGAGAGAGAGTGTTTATTTAGAAGCTGGTTGAAGGTGACTTTGGGGCTTCTTTAGCTAAAATGTGGGTGCCATTTGCAGTAGATGCTGACTCAGCTTCATGGGTGGCCGTTTTGTGAGTGTATAACCCATAGTCATCATCAATCTACATTGATGGCGCATGCACAGCTTGCCCTGAGGTACACAGAGCATACAGGGGACACACATGGTCTCTGTCCCTATGGCTCATGTGCCAAGTGGCTGGTGAGTTGGGAGTCAACCAGCTTTCCTGGGCTTGTGTGATCAGAGAGGGCTCCCTGTATTGTCCACACAGTGTCTTGAAGGTGACCATAACTTTGTGCCTAGAGATATCCTATGTAGGACTGGCTCCAGCTGCAGGTGAGGGGCAGTGGGCTGATGCTTTCATTCTTTCTTCTTCTTCTTTTTTTTTTTAATCTTTCAACTAACATCATCTTAGGTTGGTGCTTTCTGAGGGCTGCCAGTGGCAGAGACAAATGCAGATATGAATCCAGTCTAAAGGAAACGGTGGAGTAGGTCTTCATGTAGATATGTGTTGCTGTCTTGTCCTCTTGATCTGAAATGCCCTTCTTTTTGTCCTAATTTATTCAAATTTGATTTCAGGGACCAATCCTGTGTATCTCTCAGGAACCAGTCACACCAGTAATCTGACTGGGGAAAACATTTTATTTTTTTAATTTCTGAGATCTTTATTTCATGCTGATTATCATGTAAGTAAACTGCAAAACACACACTGTATTAAAAAGTTTAGAATGGAATCCAGTCTTTTATTTATTTATTGACTATTAAAGTTTTTATTTAAATTCCATTTAATTAACATACAGTGTAATATTAGAGTTAGGTGTACAATATAGTGATTCAACACTTCCGTACCTCACCTGGCGCTCATCACAGCAAGTGCGCTCCTTACTCCCCGTCACCTGTTTCTCCCATTCCCC